AGGTTCTATATATTGAGATGTTTTTGAAGAAACCCAATCAACTTCCTTTAATGTGATTGCTTCCAGCTCTTTGGATCAGACATAGACTAGAGGCTGGTGATGTGACACAAAGGAGGTTCAGGTTAGATTTTGGTTAGTGATGTTAGTTGTTCAACATAAATACATAGCTGGGCTCCATAGTTACGACAGCAAACAGTACTGTGATTAACAATAGTTTCTTTCAAGCTGCTTGATGCTTTTTTAGAGTAGAGCAATAATTTGCTGAGAAAACAAAAATGGAACAGAAATCTCTCTAATGAGTTTCTCCATGAAACTTGAATATTGCAATACTTCAGTGAACAATTATTTTGAATAATTATTTTGAATAATTAGAAGCAATGTGTTTTTAGCAATATACTATTAATTTAAGAGACTAGACTGTATTTGTCTATGAAATGCAGGAATTGCATGTTTGTCCTTGGCATGCTTTTTTAAAAAGTCACTGGTGTGCTGGAAGTTTGAATGCTTTCTCATGAATTCAGTTATCACATGCTATTGATTTGGATCCTGTGTTTAAATGAACTGAGATCTTATTTTTTCATAAAATCAAAGGTGATCTTCAATTTTTAGCAGAATTTTAAAGGCAAAACAATCCTCTATAAGGAACAAGAAATCTCTTGAACTAGGACCTCCCAGTATGACCAGTTGGGTGGTCCAGTCAGATTATGGCCTGTGAAAATGCATGGTCATACATCTGAATGTTTTTGGTTACTCTTAAGAGTTTTGCCTAATTAAGAAATGTAAACAGTATAGCTGTGTTTATTCATAAGTTATGAATACATACATGTTTCAAGTTCTCTGACTGGGATGCTCTGTGAAAAACTGCTTAGACAAGTTAGCAATAGGTAGTGAGTTTTGAGTGACAAATTCAGAAACACCAAGTACCCTATGGACAACTAGAATAGGTGGGCTAAAGGTGCAGGGACAATTGAAGATGTATCAATAATTAAATTGCAAGACTATTTAGAAGGGTCTAACAGGAGTGGTGTTTAAGGTCCTACTAATCTTGAAAGTAGTAGCAGTAACCTAAAGATTGCAATAAGATTGTTTGGATAAGTAGAGCTTGATTGTTTCAAAAGTGGGCAAGAAATTCTTTTGTATCCTGCTAGGAAGCTTATACCCCAAATGCTGCTTCACTGCTGCGTTTTTACAAGTCCTATTTAACCTCATTGCAGAAAGAGGGAGACTTCATTTCCTGCTTTGGTAAATAGTACTTATCAAAAATTTACTTCCCAGATTAAAACCATGAACTTTTGCTTTTTTTTTTTATTATTGATTTATTTATAAACGTCTGGTTTTTGAGTCATTGAGAACTTGGCATGTTACAGGAGGTGAGGGTGGAGTTCAGTATTTCTTCCATTTAAATTTTCCTCCTTCCAGTAGATTTGCTATACGTTTCAGAGAAGAAAACTAAAGCAAAACAAAGAATAAATAAGTTTATCTGGGGTATGTGAAGAGAAAATGTGGTTACTTGGTAATGTGTCTAGGAGTAATAAAATGGGCTTTTTTTTCTTTTTTTCTTGGGGGAGGGGAGTGGAATTTAAGTTGTTTATTCTGCAACTTCTAGCAAGTATGGAACCAATTTGCATTAATGAGAGAGCAGGGAGGAAAACAGACTTTTAGTATTTGAAATACATAGATTTCCATGCTATCTAAAGAATTCCCTTAAAATACTATTTGGTGTCACATAACTGGACCTCAATTTATAGATGGAACATTTAAAATAATGTTAATGCAGCTGATAATGCTGCGGGAAAATGTTGAAGTCTGTATACTGGTAATATAAAGTTTGCACCCACTGAACTGTTCTGGTACTGCTATTCTCCCATGCAGTTTAGAAAAAGCTAGGAAATGGCAACACATTTCTCAGGCTGTTTCCTTGATAAAAATCATTACAGAGTGACAAATGTTTCTTGATAGTGTTCTGAAGATTTGTTTTTTAGGACACAGAGGTTGACTTTCTTCAACCTGGTATACCTATGTGGAGCCTCCCTTGCTATCTCTTACTGTAATGTGGAGTTGCTAAATTGGTAAACTTTGAAAGCAATTTGTGGCATACGAATTTTTAAATTGCCTTGTACTGTCTGAGTGAGCTCCTGAAACAGAGTGCTGCTGTAGCTATGGGAAGTCTGAACCTGTTCAGTGAATACCCTTTGTGTGCACTAAATCAAATGATCCAGCTTTCAATTTACCATTCCATTACTGCAAATGCCAAGGTCATTCAATGCCTATTTGAATCCTAGTGTTTTTGTGCAGGAAACGATGGGTTGTTCACAGACACTCCATTAAATTCCTGAGAAGTGAATGTTGGTAGGTGTCTTAATTTAAGTTCCTTCTGGTACTGACTTTGGATGACACAAAAGAAAGAGGTAACTTCTCTGGAAGGTCAAACAGAGAGAGATGTTGGTCTGTGTTAGACAAGGAAGCTTGTACTTACATAAATAAAAACTGGGGCAGAAGAGGCCAGAAAAAATAATTACTTTTTTTTTCCTTGCTTCTATTTAGCTCATCTAAAACGTGTCAACAAAAATCAAAAATTATTTCTAAGACTGCCAATTTTATTTCATTAAGATGTCAGTAAGTTACTGACTAAGCATTTTCATGTTGAACTCTACTTAAATATTTATTTTAATACTGTGCAACTTGATACAACCCAAACCAGAAATAATTACATGGATATCTGTGTTTTATTATTTTAAATGTGTAGTAGTACCCTGAATTTGTGATATGAGATAATTTATTTAAAATGTAGAATTTAAATAAACCATTTTCTTGAAGCTTGAAATGAATCATGAAAATAAATATTTTATTTATTGGTGTAACTTCCTAGTTCAAATGTACTAAAATGATTAACTAGTTCCTGTCTACTTTACTATTTAACTGCTAAATAACTGGCATTATAAACTGGCATAATATTCACAAGTATGTATTACATCACTGCAGGTTGGATGTGAGCTTGTCAAGTTTTAGAGTTAGTTGGTGCGTTTATTCTAGTCAGCTGTTTAGACATGATGAGCATGCATAATTAACAGAATCACAGAATTGTCTAGGTTGGAAGAGACCTCAAGGTCATCGAGTCCAACCTCTGACCTAACACTAACAAGTCCTCCACTAAACTGTATCACTAAGTTCAACATCTAAACGTCTTTTAAAGACCTCCAGGGATGGTGACTCCACCACTTCCCTGGGCAGCGCATTCCAGTGCCTCAAACTTGGAGCAACTTCTTTAAGCAACAGATTTTATGTTTTTAATGTCTTTTGGAGAGTGTGTTTCTGTTTTTCAGCAAATTTATAAAGATTTTGGAGATGTGGTTGTTCAAATACTCCACTGAGGGCACACTTGTTTATTCATCTTGTGACACTGTCCAGCTGTGGTTCATGAAGTCATGTGCACAGACTCTTAAGTGGATAAGCATTATCACTATTAATTTTGAGGAGCTGAGAAAGGACTTTTTGGGTAGTTCCAAACGTTCAGTATGTGTCATGTTCTGCAGATGTAACACCTGTGTTAAGGGCAAAGTGCTACATCAGTGGCAATTGCTGTGTAAGAACTAGCAGATTTTATCTTCAGTGGAGATGAACTGGCTGACGTAGAACGGCATATACAGTGGAGTTTCCATCAGCTAAATATAAATTAGCTGAATGAATGAAACCTTAGGAAGTGTTAGTGGATCGTAGCCTTAGATGCATCTAAGGTATTTCTAAGCTTTTAAAAATATGTGAATTAAAAATGACAAATGTAATTGTCCTGGATAGCATACCTGAAATACTTCTTGTGACTTAAATTGCTAAAGAAATCGAACGCATTTTGTGTAGTTGGCACTTACTGTAAAATAATTGGTTGCTAGTTAAGAAACATTTTAATTCTAGGTCTGTTGATAGGATTCAGAACAAACCACATGAATTTGAGAGCAAAATAATTGTGTAGGAAATAGAGCATTGCCCTTTTATTTTATTAGTGTTCAGTCTCTGTTTTACTGCAGGATGGGCTGGGGAGGTCTACCAGAACCTTGTGTCTGATAAGTATCTGAATTCTGTGTTGAATCAGCACTGTTGTCTCAACATTGCTGGAAACAGGGTGGTTCATTGACATCATTAGGATTAAGGCTGGACTGTTAATCCTCACAGTGCTGCAAGCTCTGGGCACTGTTGTACACAGCAGTGAGGTGAGCTATCTGAATTGTCGCCTGAGGCAATGTTTCTGCCAGGTGATGCATGGCCTCCTTTGGGCAGAAAATCCTGCTTTTCTGTCTTGTTATTATTACTACCATGTCCTGTCTGATCTTGAGCTTTGTGTTATATGCAATGGCGTGTCAACCCAGTTGTTGATGGGAAAATATTCAAAGGTGTTAAATAGAAGGATGCAAAATTCCAGTCAGTATATGTTGACCATCAGGCAGTACTACAGAGGTACATTATGTTGCTAAGAGGAGATGGGCCCACTGCTTGCCTAAGAAGCCCTTAGTGTCTGCACACTGCTGGGATGGAAGAAACATTGGTACTCCAAAGCACAGTAAAGCTTTAAGCTATTTTTGTATTTAATGGCTGGTGTGACTCTGAGTAACCACTCTTTTGTTAACTTCAGCAGTCCATGGGAGCAAGCAACTTTCATCCCAATTCATAGGCCTCTGACTAGAAACTCTCACTTGTGGGGAAAAATATCCAAGCTCAAAGACTGAAGTCTACCCAAGCTACCATTGTGATTTATTAGGGGGCCTGCCTGCCTATAAACGAATGCTACAGTATTTGTTCACATCCGAGTTATGTTCTACAGAACAGTACTGTAGATAAACTCTAGGGAGTTTTGTTTGTTTACATATTTTACATCTAAACACGGAAATTATGAAAGCTGAAAATTCATCCTTCATGAATGGGCATGGGGCAGGGGAGTGTCCTTCGGAAATGTACTGGTTTTGATTAAGAATGCTTTTCTTTCCTTTTGTTTGCTTTCTGTCCGTTAGATTTTGCTAAGCCTGTCTCTGCTGAGATGCCAGATAAAACTCCTGGTGGTACAGAACCTGTTCCCAGGAATGAAGGTGAGTAGTTTCTTTTCCTTCAGACATCTTTCATTTTCATGAAGTGTCATGGTATTTGTGAAGTACGAAGTCAATAGGCGAACTTCCCTTCATGTCCTTAACCTTAAGGAAGAACTGAACTGACTTAGGGTGTGCGTATTCATCTAAGTAGCAGTAACTATCTGAGCTGGGAGAACCAGTGGGCTGCTAGGATTTCGCACATGGAGAATTATTTTTTTCCCATTTAGATGGGGAGATCTTGTGGAATGAGGTCAGATTTTCGTGTGGGGTACTTCAGTCTCATAGAACCAAAGCTGGCATTTATAATGGGGACTGACTGATACAAAGAGGAAGCAAAAATGTGTGACTTCCATTAAATTTAGTGGAATACTGAAATGGTCAAGTCTTTTTGAGAATAAGACTCCGCCCACCCCCCCATTCGTTAACTTTAAATTGCCACATACAAATATTTGGTACTAGATTTTAAGGATTTTTTTTTAATCTAAAACCAGTTAAGTTCTTGCATGTTTTAGTCCTTCAGAAACACTGCTGAATTGTGTTTTATTAAAATACTGTATAAAAGAAATTATTTGCTATTTCATGTCAAGGTTGTGGGGTGTTTCGGACAGTCTAGTGACAAAACTTGTGTCTCTCTTCCATCCACTTGCTTTCTATATCATGCCTGTCCTCATATAAGTACTGTATTTATTATATGTAATTTTTTAAATAAAACTTGCAACTCAGACTGTGTCATACAGCATTCTGTCTGTTGTGTTATACGGCTTTCTGTCTAAACCTTAGGATACCCATCTCAAAGTTTAGTTTTTAAAAAGTATTTTAGTTGTATTTAAATCTTACTGTTGACATTTGAAAGGTATCACAAACATGCTGCAAAATAACTTCAGAAAGTGCATCAATAACAGGCAAGAAAGAAATTTCCTTCCTTGTAAAGGGTAATAAGCTATGTGTAATTGCAAAAGGCCTTTCTATTAATTTATTTTTCAAGATTAATATATGCTACTATGAGAACTCTCAATACCAGATGAGAAACAGTCCAGCTAGGCTTCCAAAGGATTGAGTGCTTTTTCTGATACACATTTTGTGTGCTCACCTTCTAAATAAATCTAATGCTAAACTGCTGTAACTAAATCCAGTTAAAAGCAAGGTCTCCACTTGTGCTGTGCCTTAAGACGTGGAACAATTGTCATGTACCTTCTGGGTTGCTTCCCTACAAGTAGATTATGGGATCGCATCTATAGCTATCATAGGTACTAATGAAATCTAAACGTGTTATACTTACTACTACTGTGGTAATAAATATCATGCATTGATTCTTTTTTCTGGCTGTGGAGTGGTGGCAGATAATTCTGTGGTTCAGTCCTTCAGTCTCTGAGAGGAGTTCTGGTAAATTTAGTGAGGGATGATGTAAAGCCTTCTGATCAAACTGGGGGAAAATGTCTCTCTGTAACTTTATTTCCTCTTGTTACATTTTGATTTACCACATAAGCAGCTTCCCGTAAGTGAGTGGTAAGGTGTGCTTTGGCTTTACGTCAGGAGTTAAAGTGGGTAGGACTGGTGATAGCGTAAAGCTGTAGGTGGCCTTGGGAGCAGGGGTCTGGGGAAGGAAGGGGAGGAAATGGAAAGAATCCTCCAGCGTTGTTAATGGTGGGGTCATTGACAGTCACCTTGACCATCAAGCACAGGCTGATTCTCCTCCTTATGCTGGCAATCAGAGATTGACCCCTGTTAAGAGAGATGGGTGAGGGCTGAGAACTACCGTGTGCGTCAGTGAGACACTGAAAAGACAACTATTTTTAAGGTTGCTGGGAACAGATACCAGCTGCCAAATATTTTCCTGTGAACTCCAGCCCCAAATTACAATGTTGAAACTGAACAAGGGATCGTTCATGTCTAGGCACAGGAGAGAGAGGCAGGAAGCTGGTTTTCATTTCATTTTTGGAAGACTCTCATGAAGCTTTCAGTGTCTCTTTTGTTTCTGTAAATGTGGTTTCATTTCACCAGAAGTGTCCTTAGGTAAATAAATAAATACAATTCTAGAAACATCTCTGCAATTAAGCAAATCTAGAAAATGCCCTGAGGATCTTGTTCGGTACCTTGTCAATTCTAGGTTACTTGCATCTTGGAAAATGCATGATGGGATGTAAAAATTAGGTCAATCTTGCAAAATACATAGAAAACCTTCAGGTGGCCACAGACTCTCATGTACTTGAAAAATAACTCATTTCAGCAGCATTATTTCCTCTACTTCCAAAGCTTACCATGTGCCCAGTGGGTTTGGAATTCAGGGAGAAAGGGACATATGGTGCAAGGTTGTCTTTTATTATTATTATTGTTGTTGTTGTTGTTGTTGTTAGTATTATTATTATTATTATTTTGCCCCCGTTAACCAAATTCTCACACTAGAGGTTCATGTATGTACTGCTCATATCAAGAACAAATTAAGACTGAAGAAGTCTTCTGCTTTTCCAGGGAGATGATTTTTCTGCATCTATGCAACCCTCCCCTGGTAGATGCTGTATTTCAGAGCTTTAACTATAAAATCTTAATGAAAATAAAGGCAAAAAACATTGTATCCTGTATATGTCTCAAGAAATAAATGTAGTATCATTGCAGCCTGAAGACATAAAATGTATACTAAACGTAACACATATACTTATGTTTTTGCAGACTTGTACAAAGAAGTTTGCTATTACCACTGGAAGCTCAGACAATATGGATTACAATGATAAACTCTAGGAAATTTTCAGGAAACGTAGTTTTTCAAAATCTTTCAGTTTCCCCAAAACAGGGTCACTTCCTTCACTTGGCTGGGGGTAGCACAGGATGAAAAATAATTAAAAAAAACAAACAAACAAACAAAACAAACAAACAAACAAAAAAAAACCACTGGGGTCTGAACATGAAGTGTTGGTTTTGGCTGGGATAGAGTTAGTTTTCTTCATAGTAGCTGGTATGTTGCTGTGTTTTGGATTTGTAGAGAAGACAGTGCTGATAACACCCCGATGTTTCAGCTGTTACAGAGCTGTGCTCACACAGAGTCAAAGACTCTTCTGCTCCTCATGCTGCTCTGCCAGTGAGGAGGCTGGCGGTGCACCAGGGACTGGAGGGGACACAGAGGGGTCCCAAATGGACCAATGGGATGTCTTGTATCATGTTAAGTCATGCTCAGCACTAAAACTGGAGGGGAAAGTTTGATAGGGTGGTTGTCTGGGAACTAGCTGGGCATTGGTAGGCTGGTGGTGAGCAATTGTTTTTTGTATTACTTTTTCTCCTTGTTTCCTTTTTCTATTTTCTTACTAACCTGTCCTTTTCTGAACTTAGACAGTTTCTTATTTTTTTCCCTTCTGATTCTCTTCCTCCACCCTGCTGGGGGAGGATGAGGACAGTGAGTGAATAGCTGTGTAAGGCTTCATTGCCTACCAAGGTTAACTCACAAACCTTGAACAAAGGCATTTTGATTATTGCTGTAAGACTAGCTTCAGTTAGTGTACAGTGGTTGCTGAGGAGCTGAACTTATAAAGCACAGGTAATCGAAGTGTTGCTGTAGAGATGTATGTGTGTTGTAGTCTTTGAACTGTTCTGTGTGAACTTCTGCAACAGTGGGACACTGGCTTGCTGTGCAAGTGACACATGAATACAAATCATTGCCCTCTTTCCAATGGTATTTCCTCTTACAGCTGTCCTTCGTGCTTTGCTGGTGTATGTTTTCAAGGTTTTTGTGGTGTTTAGTAGCTTCTGATGTCTGAATCAAGCAGACAACTAATGCGGTGTCTTGCAAGTTATCAAGGAAAGTTAAATCTGGAAAGCTTTCTGACACCAAGATCAACCAGAGATCTTTTTTTTTTTAATTGAATCCTAAGTTTCATGTTTTGATGGAATTCATACAAGATTCTTGCGAATTGAAATCTCCCATATACCAGAAGACAGATCAAAAATGATCATCTAGATCATTAAGAAACTGTGCATGAGTATATGAGGCGGTGTAACTGTGTTTATTGTATGTATAAGTGAATGTATATGCATATATGTATATGGAAGTGTATGTTCACGCTTTAAACATCTAAAATGTTCTTTAGCACATACAATGCTTAGTGAAACAAATTATGGGTTAATCTGGATGCTTTCCTTTTAGTCACTTCTGAAATTAATGTTTTCCTCTTTAAAAAAGGAAATGATGAATAAAAATGGATCTTAGAAACCTCACGTTACGTCTTGATTTTCACATTCTACTCAAGACAAAAACATGCTACTAATGTCTTCTGATGATAGTAAATCAATGCTGGTGAAAGTTAGAATTTCTATGCTGTAAGAGGTTTTACTGTTTTATTTTCATAAATACTCTTACAGAATTTTATAATAATGTTTGCTCAAAAAGAATTGCCAGACATGCCAATAGCTGCTCTAGCACTGACTTGTAAGATAGAGATGCATGTGATCAAATACTATGGAAGCCTATACTTACTTAGCATTTATACAGTTTGCTGATAAACAAGAATGTCTCACGGGTCCAGAGTATGACAGAGTCAGAAATAAGAAGTGAGTGTTTAATTATTCAAGTTTAAAATATCACTGCTACTTATGTGCATAAACATTTATATGAACTTCATTATTTTTTTCCAGACATCTTATCACTGCTTGTTTTTTTTTTTCAAAGAAATATTTTTCAGAGAAATATTCATGCTACAAGTGGTCTTCAAAAAAAGGTCTTCAAAAGACGTCAAAAAGTCTTCAAAAAAGGTCTTTTTGTTGTTACAAACATCTGACAATTAGTCTTTCTCATTTATAAGGGTCAAGTTGGGTTGACCGAAGTGTTGGCAAGATAACTGATTATCTGGAAATTTAAAAAAAAAGTCAGTGTTGCTTTAACCTAGCAGTACCCCTCCCTGCCCCTCACCCACTGGCCCACTGCTCTGGTTAAGCCATGAGCAGACAGGAGCAGACAATTGAGAAATGAGTTTCCTGTAATTAAGTTTCTGTGACTTAGTCCTTGACTTGAGGGT